GGGTTGCTGTGATGCTGGAAGTTGTGCCACCGGTATTTCAAATACCAGCATGGTCACCCATGGTGGACAAGTTTCAGTGGAGCTTCCAGACTATGACAGACTAAGAAGAAAGGCCTGGAGATCTTCTTCCAAAAATTAGCCTATGAAAACCCTATGGATCTCAACAAAATACTGTCTGATATAGTGCTTAAAGATGAGCCCCCTAAATTGGAAGGCACTCAAAATACACAGGTCACAACAATGGACTCAACCATACCAGTCGTGAAGATGGCACAGGACCAGGATATGTTTCATTCTGTCGTACATGGGGTTGCCATGAGTCAGAGCTGACTCAACAGCCACTAACAACAGATATGCAATTAAAACCAAGAAGTCATGGCCCAGACAGCACCCTCTTTAGCTTTCAGAGGTGTAGGCCCCCTTGGCTTTGGTAACCTGGCACACTTTCTCAAGTTACAGTTGTGACTTGGTATTTTATCAATGAATTTGTCCCACATAAACTTTGCTTGTGATCTACTAACCTCTACCTCAAGCTGATTCCATCCATGAACCCCAACCATTCACCTCATCAATAGTCTCTGCTCCACCTACTCTGGCTCCTTCCTTGCGCATCCAAGCCTGTAGGCTATGATGGGCGACTTCACATATACCCAGATACTTGTAACATTCTTTCTCCTCCCACTCACTGAGCAATCTTTCTTGCTTCAAGTCATAACTTCAAGCTCAGCTTCAGTTAGTCAGTGCCTGAAATGCCTTCTACCACTGTGATCAACAACTATATATTTGTGAAGCATTATATTTTACAATATGCTTTCACATGCCTTTAGGAGGTAGGCGTGCAATGGTTTACCATCTGTTCTAAACATGGTAATACTGAAATTCTGAGAGATTAAATGATATTCTCAAAGTCATACAGTTAGTAAGGGACAGAGTAAAGACTGGGGTCTTTATATTTTACTTCGTACCTTATCCTTTCACTAAACCATAGCTACCTAGTTTGCATGTGTTACTCATTAGGGAAAATCTTTTTAGATTAGGAAAAAAAAAAAAAAAAAAACCCGTTGTTGTTGAGTCGATTCCAACTCTTAGCGACCCTATAGGAGAAAGAGCAGCATTGTGAAGTGGTATTAAAACAGGCATTGTAATAAGAAAGACCTTAGTTTGACTCCTGGCTCTGGAGTAAACTAGCTATTTTTTTTTTATAGTGTCTTAGGGGAAGGTTTATGGTGGAAATTAGTTTTTCATTCAAAAATTTATATACAAATTGTTTTGTGACGTTGGTTGTACTCCCCGCACTGTGTCACCTCTCTCTCCCTTTCCCTTTCCACCCTGGGCTGTCTGTGTCCATTCGTTCGGTTTTCCTACTCCTTCCTGCCTTCTCATCTTTCCTTTTGGTAAAATGTTGCCCATTTGGTCGTGTAGACTTGACTGAACCAAGAAGTATGTTCCTCACATGTGTTATTGTTGTGGGCCTGTCTAATCTTCCACTGAAAGGCGGACTTCGGGAGTGGCTTCAGTCCTCAGCAGGGTAAAATAGCTATTTAATAGCATGCTACTTAACCTTAAAAAACTTGTGTAGTGCAAATGGTTACTGTGCTCAGCTGCAAACCAAAAGGTTGGAAGTTAGAGTTCACCCAGAGGCACCTCTTTAGAAGAGCACAACCATCTACTCCCAAAGAAATCAGCCATTGAAAACCCTGTGGAGCACCATTCTACTCTGACACACGTGGGTTCACCATGAGTCAAAATCAATTTGTTGACTTTTTTTTTTAAATTTAGTTTCTCCATCTGAGAACCAAATAATCAGTATTTGGTACATAGTAGAGTAGACTCATTTGAATTATGGCGTTGGTGAAGAATATTGAATACACTATGGACTGCCAGGAGAACGAGCGCATCTGTCTTGGAGGAAGTACAGCGAGAATGCTCCTTAGAAGCAGGATGACTGGACGTTGTCTTGCTTACTTAAGACACGTTATGAAGAAGGGTATCATGCTTGGTAAAATAGATGGTCGGGAAAAAGACCCTCGAAGAGATGGATTGTTGCAGTGGCTGTAACAATGGGCTCAAACATAGCAATCAGGCAGCGTTCATTCTGTTATACACGAGGTCACTGAGTGAGAGCCAACCCCGTGGCACCCAACAACAACAACATAGTATCAAGTACTTATTAGGTGTCCAATCAGTATTTGACAAGTAATATATAGATACTTCATAATAAGTGTTTTTAACTGAGGAGGGGTGTGTGTGTGTGTGTGTGTGTGTGTGTGTGTGTGTGTGTGATATCCTGGGGAGAGGGTAGATAGCTTAATCGAAAGATGTAAAATATAGATGGTGATAGTGTATATGAAGGGCCTGACACATAGTAGGCTGTCAGCAATTGGGAGTTGCTATGGCCTTATTATAGCTGCAACAATAGGCTCTAACCTACCAGTGATTGTGAGGATGGCACAAGACCAGGCAATGTTTCATTCTGCTACAGGTAAGATCACAGTAAGTCGGAGCCGGCTGGATGACAGCAACTAACAAGAACACGAAGACCTGGCCTCATTGGACTGTATAATGATAGCTAGACACTCTGAGAACGGGGAAAGCAGAAAGCCATACCTTTCTTTTTTTTTTTTCCAGTTCTAGAGTTAGGAGAAAATTCTTAGCAATTTTTAAGTTGAATCTTTTAATCTTACAGATAAAGCTTCCTACTAACGTTGGTAAGGACCAAGTATAAGAAAAAAATAAAGAGGTCTCAACTACAAAAGTTTGTAACAGTTACTCTTCCCAACACCCTGTAAGATATTGGGGAGATATTAAAATGAAACCTTTATAGATGAGACAAATGCTGTTAAGGGGAGTCAGGCAATAGCCCAAGGTCTCAGCTAGGACATGCAGTGATAGGACTCAGTCTTTGTTTCTTCGACGTTAAAACCCGGTGTCTTTCTAGAGTAACTAACTTTTAAGCCCAGAAACATGATTCATTTCACACTCGGCAATAGTTCTGTCTTTATTCCTGAATAAAAGTGGTCCTATATCTTTTTGTTATCTTTGATTTTGTCTTGTTCTTCATATTTGTGTAATAATCCATTATAATACCTACCATTAAATAAAATAGGAAAAAGAGAAACTACCTAGCATTTGTGCCAGGAGCAGGCTCTGGGGTCTGTCTGTAGACAATGAGTGTTTTCTGAGGCAGTGGTTAGAATATATGAATGTTTTTCTCTTGTTTTGATTGCTGCCTAATGATTTTTCATGTCAGGTTTCCTCAGACACTTCCAAAATACTAACTAATAACAGGAGAACAGGTGGCCTTGCTCATCGGAAATGCTAGAACGGCTGAAATGGTGTTTAGTAATTACTGATTACAGTGTGTACTGACGTGGGGACCAGGTGCCAGCGGAACAGTCAAGTCTGAATCCATAAAGATCTGTTCAGTCATGATCTCTTTTTCAACATTACAATAATTCTTGAACTGAAAGGCACAGTTGTAGGACTACTAAGGATAGATGTTTCTGTTTTTCTTACCTTTGTATTGGAATGCTTTAATTGCGTGCAAATGAGATCCTTAAAGACATTTTAGCATAATTTTCTTTGGGGGAAAAGCCTTGAGCAGTCATGCTCTAAAAATTCAGTGGTGAGTGGTAAGAATATAATCTTTTAAAGTAAAAAAAAAAAAAGAAAGAAAGAAAAGAAGTGCCAAAACTCTCTATGCTTGAATATTTTCATCCTAATTAAAATAATAAACGTTATCCAAGACTCTGATATGAATAAAATTAAGAAATAAAAAAGTTAGGAAATCTTTGTAAAATATGAAGCAAGTGTTGAAAAGCTCAGCATGTTCTCTGGTGTTACTGTATTTATCCCTGGAAATCCTCTTACCGATGGGAAAATTCAAGAACCAATAACTCGCGATTCAAATCCACCATTTCACAACAAACCACATCCAGATTAGAAGAATAATGTATTTTGACTGTTGCTGTTGTTGAGTCGGTTCCGACTCATAACAACCCTGTAGGACATGGTAGAACTGCCCCATAGGGTTTCCAAAGAACTGCTAATGGATTTGAACCGCTGACTTTTGTTAGCAGCTGAGCTCTTAATCACTACACCACCAGTGGGGGCTACCAATTAGCTACCAGTATGCCCAAATAATAAAAAAAAAATGTTTTATATGTTTTTGAAGCAAATTTTCTGGTATTATTCATTAGCTGAATATTTAAATTGTCTATTACACACCGCTTCTTTTCGTGTGAAGTTATTACAGTTACCTTTAACATCCGCACAGACTAGATACACTGAGCATGGAATTGGGGGCAGAGAAAGATTAATAACTGCAACATAACCATATACCAAGTCTTATGCAGGCCTTTTAAAAATTTTATATAAAGAATTATTGATGAAATAAAAACATATATCCCAAACAGTTTCTCATAATCCATCTGGTTGTTTCTCATAATCCATCTGGTTGTTTCTTTGCTTCTGCAGTTAATAAAATGGCTGAGAAAATAAAGGAAATAATTCTTTCCATGTTGACCTGGAGGAGAAAAAAAATCCCACAATTTGAATGTGAATTCAAAAAATTCACCTGTCGTTCTTTAGTAAATAGCCAGTTGCCATTGAGTCAGACCCATGGCAACCCCATGTGTATCAGAGTAGAACTGTGCTCCATAGGGTTTTCAAGGCTCTGACCTTTCAGGAGTAGATCATCAGGCCTTTCTTCTGAGGCACCTCTGAGTGGGTTTGAACCACCAATCTTTTAGTTAGTAGTTGAGTGCTTAGCCATTTGCGCCACCCAAGAACTCCATTATTTAGTAGACAGGTCCAACACCTTAACTCCCAGCATTATAAAAGACATTTTAGAATGACACAGTAGCTGCTAGTCCACCCTGCACTCTCGGGGAGAAGGGGGATGGAAAGGAGATGTAATCCCTGAGGAGGAGAAATGCAGCCCCTGGCCTGTAGGAACTGCCTGTTACCCGCAGGTAGGTCTCAGTGCTCTCCTGTTGACCATGGACAATTTCAGAGAACGTCAACATCAGACAAGTCTGCTCTGTGATTGTGATGGACCGAGACAAGAACAGGAGCATGCTACAATCACATCGGAACCCAGACGAAACATGGACATTGTCCAAGCCAAAAAATACCCACCTCCCCTTCTCCCAGGTAATGTGAGGGACTGCTGGTTCTTTATAAATTACAGCTTTAGCCCCAGCCTTGTCTCCCCTCCTCCAACATAAGATCGATTAAGATACTCTTCCTAGGAACATCCAATCCAGAGCAAAGCCCCCCTCCCTTAAGCCTTCCCTAGAATTACCAACCACCGCCTGTCTGTCTGTCCTACTGCAGTAGCTCGCATGTTGCTTTGATGCTGGAAGCTATGCCACTGGTATTGCAGATACCAGCAGGGTCACCCATGGTGGACACGTTTTAGTGGAGCTTCTAGACTAAGAATAGGAAGAAAGACCTCGTGATCTACTTCTGAGAACTAGCCAATGAAAACCCTATGGATCACAACAGAATATTGTCTGATATAGTTCTGAAAGATGAGTCCCCTAGGTCAGAAGACACTAGACAATAGCTGTAACAATGGACTCAAACATGCCAGCGATCATAAGGATGGCACGGGATTGGCAATGTTGTACACAGGATCGCCAAGAGTTGGAGCCAACTCGGCGGCCACTGACTACAACCAAGTTACCTAAGGAAGTTGAAATCCTGCAACAAGCTGTCTCTAAGACCTTCTTACTGAGAAGCCCCATGGTCCCCATGGTGTGTGCTCTCTTCTCCTGCAATGAGTAGTAAACTCACCCTGCATCCCTGGTGATCTTTGACTGGAAGGCATGAACATCGGACAAGTCACATAGGAGACGCGCTGACAGTGTTTTATTTCTTCGTCTGGGTGGTGGTTACCTTAATGTTCACTTAATAACTCATTAAACCATACATTTATGGTGTGTACACTTGCCCATATTTCACAATAAAAGTAATTTTTTAAAAGCCTGTGTTGGATACGGGGATCTATTTCTTAGCCCAGAAATAAAATACTCCCTCTAGATAATTTACTGGGTAAGATCACACACAAAGATCAAAAATTAAAATATTTTTAAAATTCTAAAAATACACTTAGACACTAATAGAGTGAGGGAGAAAGAAGGGGAGCAGTAGAACAGTCTTCCAAAATGCAGCACTAGCTCATATCAATGCAGGCATCCTTTTCTTTTGTTTACTCTGGCCAGACACGCTTGAGCCCAAACTGTCAAATTCATAAAAATTAATGGAGTAAAAGGAAGTAAGCACGCATTTGTTTCACTCAGTGATGGAGACACTGCAGACTCTTCACGTTTGGCTCCAAGGAATACATGTGTTTCTTGCTTGAAGGAACAGCTGTAGCCCCGTCTACATCTGTTTGTTCCACTTCTCAGTAACCAGGGGCTTGCCTGAACAGGTGTTACGCACACACGTTAGTGGTACTTTGAAGCCTAAAATGGATCACTTTGCAAGTTGCCTTATCTTGTAAGTGAGGGGCTGAATTAGGTGATCTCTGATGCCTCTTTTAGCTCTAAACTCTCACCCAAACCATGAATTACTCCCACCTGTCAGCATGGTATGTGAGCAGCTATGGATTTGACCAAATCTTCAGGGAGAACGGTACCTTTTCAAGAGGGCGCCACTTCCCACTCTTTAATCAATTAGAGCATGGGAGCTAGTGGGGGTTTGTTTTCCCTTTATGCAAACTGGCTTCCAACATCGAAACAGACTCTCTTCCCAAAAGGAGTATCCGGGGAGCATTTGGAGTGGACATCTGTGATGTTCTGAATTTAAACGGCTGAGCGGTAGCCGCGATGACTTCCCAGTTAGAACATCCAGCAGATTTCCATTTCTGGTAATCAACAGGTGAACTGTAGAAGTAACCAGGATAAGTTGACCAGTTCCTAGTCAGACATATCTTTGACTCAGTGTGGAAACCCACCTTCTCTCTAGGACACAGATGGCCCTGTGTAGCTCTAGGAAGTTATGTCACACCTGCTGGGCTGCAAGCTTCAAGGCAAGCTGAGTGCAGGAAAAAGGCCTAGAAAAAAAATGACACATTAATATGGTACATATTGGCAGATATGTTCAAACTATTTGCTAGACTGATCATCATTCATGCCAACAAATATTTGTTTACTGCCTGCTGTGAGGGCATCAGAGATGAGTATGTGGACAGCTATACCCACTAATTGTTTACGCTCCCCTTGCATAGTCCAGAGGGTCTCCAGGTGGCACAAATTGTTTGCACTTGAATCGTAACCTAAAGGTTGGTGGTTTGAACCTACCCACCGGTACTGTGGAAGAAAGCCCCCCTGATCTGTTTCCATAAAGATTAAAGCCAAGAAAACCCTACGGAGCAGTTCTACTCTGTAACACACTGGCTTGCCATGTGTTGGAATCAAACTGCCAGCAACGGGTTTGGTTTTCAGGGTTTGCACAGTGCAGAGATTTTACTGAGAAACTGTTCCCCCTTTGGGGGCTACATCTGCCAGTCCATCTTGCATCAGTGAAGCCATACAACTGAGCTCCAGCCAATGGAATATCGACAGAAGTGGGACACGTACTCCTACGACTTACCCACAGAAACATCCTCTTGGATGCTCCCCTCTCGCTCTGCTTCCATCTTTCAGTGGGATGTTAACAGAGCTGACTTCAGTATATTCTCAGAAGTCACATATAAAGACAGCTGTCTCCTTCAGCCTGGGTCCCGGCAAGTCTATCAGGAGCAGAGTCTCCCTGCTGCTCAGCAGAAACAGCCACTTCGGGCTTTCTGTGAATGAGAAATGTAACTTCGATTATGCTAAATCACCGTAATTTTGATTTTGTTCAGTTATGACCGCTAGTGCTGCCATCTTTACTAACAGTGTGGGGAAAATGCCATAGCGTCAGAAGGATAACTATTAACTACCAGTTGTCTGTTGACTGCCATATTGCGTGTTTTCCAGATACGGTAGTCAACGAGAAGATACTTATTTTCCATTTATCAGACACTATTACATGCAATCACCTCATTACCAGATACTATAATCTTACTCAAAATTCCTAAATAATGCCTTTCCCCTATGAATCACTGCTAATGTTTGATATACAACCACAGGGTGTTTTATTCTTCATGACTCACATAAAATTATTTCTTTTCTAAAACCTAACATAAAAAAATATCATGCTGACAGCTCCCTAACAAAACGCTTTGGCAGGTATTTCCATAATAGACCTGAAATAAAGTACCAGGTAGTGTAAACTGAACTGAAATGGAAAAACCAACAAAGCAGCCATCTGAGGGTTTGATTGCATTTGCTCAGGATGGTTCAGGATTTGGAGTTCTCTATGACCAAAGTCTCTAAAACAGTCCAAAGCTGTCATTCCTGTTTGCCAGCTAGTTACCCTTTCCTCCTTCCTCTAGTGAAGTTTTCAGCTGGTGCACAGAGAGGGCTCCAGTGTTTCCGTTTGTCTGTTAACTTAGGCTGTATGGTTTGACCCTGAGGTCATGGTGGCAGCATACTGAATGGCTGTAAGGACACTGAGAATGGCTGGGAAAAGGGTGAAGAGGCTGGGACCTCTGGCGGAGAACTTCTGTGGAAAAAGGGAGGACAGAGCCTCTAGGAACAGACCAGAGGGAGTAATTGCCAAATATGAGGCAGTCATCCCAGGAGGGGGAACATAGATATAAATATAACTGACCCCGTATATTGATTTAAACATTGACTTTGGTTACCTGAGCGTGCTCATGCTGGTGTTAAATCCATTCACTCAGGATTTTACTATGAATCGTGACTGATATTTCACTGGGCTCTGAAACCCCAAATATTCTGCTAGCCACTTACTTTTACTTCAGGATCCTAAGGCAGAAACTTTTTATTTCTAGCCAGCACTTCAGTTCCAAAGTCCAATATAACCTCCTGGTAACCTAGGCTGAATCCAATGTAGCAATGACAACGTGCTTTCTGTCTAGGACACAGATTAGCCAATGGCCTACACCAAGCATTCCCCCAAACTAATGTGTCATGGAATGCTGACAAAAGTGACCTCTCTTTCACACACACACACAAACACACCCCAACCCAATTCTCAACTAAGTTTGGAGAAAGTAGGTATACTACATTTCTAGTGTTGGGAAACAGTTCTTAATATACTGTGGATTTCCAGAAGAACAAACAAATCAGTCTTAGAAGAAATACAACCGGAATCTCCTTAGAAGCAAGGATGGCGAGACTTTGTCTTGCTTACTTTGGACACGTCATCAGGAAAGACCAAACGCTAGAAAAGGGCATCATGGTTGGTAAAAAGGAGGCTCAGCAAAGGCAAGGGAGGCCCTGAGTTAGATAGTTAGATGAATTGACACAGCCACTCAAACAATGAACTCAAACATAGCAACGATCATGAAGATTGTGGCAGGACCAGGAAACATTTTGTTCTGTTATATATAAAGATGCTATGAGTAGGGGCCAGCTTGATGGCAACAAACAAACAAACAAACAAAAAACATGGTAAAATATATGTGCTGGCATATCCATGTGTCCTAGGTAAATCTTTGCTTTACCGTGGGGCAGCCAGCCAGGATACTGCAGGACTTTACACAGAGGAGAATTGAACCTCACTTCCTCCTTTGATGGAACCCTAAACAGTTTACTCTAGCCCTTTATAAAAAACTCGTTGCCGTTGAGGTAATTCCAACTCATAGTGACCCTACAGGACCGAATAGAACTGCCCCATAGGGTTTCCAAGGAGTGGCTGGTTAATTGGAACTGCTGACCTTTTGGTTAGCAGCCGAGCTCTTAACCACTGCACCACCAGGGCTCCGGCCCTTTGTAGTCACTCACACTTACACTCACATGCATGAACACACACAGACCCTTGAGAATTCATTCCCACACTGCCTTTGATTGCTCTTTTCTGTTTTGCAATTGGCTTGTTCACTGAGCTTGCAGGAAAGAGGAATGTACAACACGATCACTGAGGCCAGAGCTGAAGTTTCCACCTAGATTGTCTTTACACCTTCTTAACAGAGTCAGATACATAGCGAAAGGACGGCATCAATCAATTATTAAAACTGTGTTAGAGTTTTTGAAGAAGACAAGTGTGCAATGATCTGCATGGAGACTTCTTTCTCAACTTTTTAAAGTTCTTGAAAA